TAGATGATGTTGGCGATCCCTATTTCCGAGAATTCATTGAATCACAGGTGTTTTGACCTGCTCTTATTTGCAAAGTTAGTTAGTTAGTTACTAAGTATCCATTTCTGTACTCTGAAGTTCCTGTAGCGATTAAATTAATATAATAATCTTTGAGAATAGCCTTTACTAGTCGACCATTACTGTTCAATAACCTGCAGGACAAGATCCCGCTGTTGACCAACTCCATGTGTGTTTATCAATTCACCTGCTCGTGTGGAGCTAGGTATATAGGTTGTTTGACTCGAGTTTTGTCCATGAGGGTGCAAGAACACTATCCTACATGGTCATTACGAAGGGGTAGAAGTGGAGCAATAAGAAGCGCGATCATTGAACATCTGGTCGATAATGATCACCCTATCTCAATAGCCTCCGCCGTTAAAGTAATCTAAAAAGCGAAGAGTAATTTACCCAAATCACTCAATACGTACCCGACTCATCTGTATTGCTGAAGCCATCTTTGGCTATCGAAACAGAAAAGTCAGATCTCTGTGTACAGAGAAAGTTCGTTCACCCCCTCCAACTTTCATGGTCTTAATCCCTCTATGCCAAAGTATGGGGTAATCCCCAATCATATTTTGGCTCTAACAATTTTTCATTTTGTCTATTCAATTTGTATAATCTCCCTTATTACGTTAATTGTTACTATGACTACTCTCACTTTGAACTGTCCCCGGTATTATTTCACTTGTTCCACTTGTCATTCTAAATCAATTCATTTTTACAACGATAAATTCTATGCTATTAAATTTCACACAATATTACGTAACGTTTTTGTTTTATTCGATTTGTCTACTAATCCTATAATTGCACACCCCTTTTCAAGTTCTATCCCTCCTATGAATTATTCTATATATGACATTAATCTGCTTTGCCACTTGACATTTAACTACGATTATAATCACAAACATTTTAGTTTTAATTGAACTTCATATGATTATTATTATTATTATTTTATGCATTCACACCTAAGATTCAATTCCCTCACCGGATATAACTTCTGAAAAATCATATATATACGACTGTACAGCTTGATGACAAATTCGTTGAAAAGAGTCTCTTCGCTGAATCACTTGTTTTGATTTTCTAAATGTTACAATGGGAATTTTCCATGAGTTAAATTAATTCACGTGCGTGTGTATGTGAGAAAGGGTGTGTGGTGTTGGTAGAGTCACTAAACCCAAAGTTCCCTCGTTTTTTTTTCTCCGCTTATGACCAGCTAACGAATTAGCCAATGAATTAGTTAGTAGTCTAAGTAAGATTTCAGTTAGACAGTTAACCTTACCACTGACAAATGTCATGAAAACAGCCACACACACACACACACAAACACGCGAAGAACTATTCTTGTCTTCCATATCCAACGAAGTGTCAAATAATCAGGTTACCATGGTGAAGTTTTGTTTTTCCTTCACAATTGTACTCATTTGAAATCAATTTGAAAATTTACTATTAATAAAATGACATGAGTCAATTTCTGCTTTACACACACACACACTTCGCCCCCCCCGCCCCTCTTTCCTTCTCTTGTAATGGGTGATGTTTATAAATGTAGATTAATGAACATATTGAATGAGAAATAAAGGGATAGCAATATACACATAACACACTTATTCTCCCACTCTCACCCCCTTCGTCTACCACTGCGAAACACCCTATTATAACTATCCTACCCCCTACCCCACCCTAATAAAATCTGCTCAGTATAGTTAAACTATTAAGATTTTATTTTTATTTTTTTGAAATAAGTAAAGGGAATAAAATTATCGATTAGGCGAAGGAAGTATTGATTACCGATTTGAGGTAATCTAGATAATCGTTATAATCGATAGATATATACTATATATTTTTCTACTATTTTACAGTTTTATATTTATAAACATGTCAATACAATTTAATCGTTATATTTACTTACGTTTTACTCAACAGACCTTTCAGTTGTGTAGTTAGTTGATTGAGTAAAAAACAAACAAACAAACAATTGAAATCTCAAAGTACTTTTCATCCCATAAAAGTGAATTTTACAAAAAACTTAATGCAGGTGTTTCATAGTCAACAGATGGCGTACTGATGAAGAGTTCTCAACTAGGACGAAACTGCTGTCTGGCCGCACTACCAGGTGGTTTTCCAGTAGTTCTCTAACTGATGTCAGCTCATGATGGAATCCTTCAACTAATCAAATAAAATTCTTACAAAAACCAATACTTGAAGATGTTGACCTTATGCTCACTAGCGAATGACCCTATTCAGGTGGGTAGTTATTTGGGGTTCTAAAGGGAAGCTGTGACCAGCAGGGGACAGCAGGTTGAAGTGAGGCAGTAACTCATCGAAGAAGACATTGCGAAGTGATCGCGCTATATCTTGCGTGAATCGGTAGAAGTTAGAATTCATGTAGTGGTCATTGGATCGCGTCCCAGTGGCTTAATGGTCTACGAGTTTACTCGCCTTGTAACTGGAAGGTACTGGGTTCGAACCCCGGCGGGTGAGTACTGAGGAAGATTCCCAGACTGGGACAAAGGAAGCAACTTTCCAGTACTCCGTGGTAGTTCCCCAATGGTTTTTGAGCTTCAGCTCATTGATCTGTACTGATGGATCTCGATTACCAGTCAGTTGATCGCATGTTTGAATCCACTTCACTTGCCGGAGTTAAGGTAGCCATGTGATTCATTTCATTAGCCTTGTCATTCTGTTAATCTTCGGATATCGTCGAAGTGTGTCTACTAGGTAGATGTTGACAGGTCAACAGAGACTGGAAAATTTCCAATCCATCATAATCAGTAGTCATTAAAAATAAAAAGAATTCAAATTAACTTAATTCACAACAAGTCCTGATTGTTTCAACCAATTCAACTGCGCTCGGTGTGGAGCGAGTTATATTGGCCGTTGCTCTAGGAACTTGATTTTTCGTGCTTACTCGAGAGCATCTCCCAGTATGGCTAAGTAAAGATGTAGTGAAAACCATCATTGACAGTTCGATATTGGACCATCTGGTGCAAACCAGCCACAAAGCCAGCCAGCGTAGATGAATCCTTCTGTCTGTATTATACCGGGTGCCAAATTAATTACCAAAATCATCGAAGCACTGCATGCTCCAAACAGCAGAGGCTATTGCGATTCACCTTAAACAACCAGCATTCTGTGTTCAAAAGAAACAGGCCCAACCTCTACTATTGCGCTGGCCTTCAGTAGAAGCTATAAACTCATGAACTTGTAATATTATCCTTCCTAATTCTTCTGACATTCAGCTTATTTTATGTTGATGCTATTGAGCTGTAATCTATCAATATTATTGATTCGATGTTATTTAAGCATTAATGTCGTTCATAACACTAACTCACTCATTCATTCATTCATTCATTCACTATAATGTATGTATAAATGTAGAGCCTGATGATGAAGAAGTTATCGAAAAGATTATTCTTTGTTCAGTATCCATTCTTTTGAAAATTTTAATACTTCTTTACCAACTTGATACTTAATCATCGAATGATCACAACCGGATATTGTTGAAATTAATCGCAAAATTTCATCATGAGCTGATATCAGTTAGAGAATAATCGGAAAATCTGCAGGAAAAACTGCCAGACAGTAGTTTCGTCTTAGTCGTTGGGTCTCTTCAAGTTTCTTGTAAGAAGTCGGGACAAGTGAGTTTGGTATAGCAAGTTGGGTGTGACGACAGACACTCGAGACTGATGACATGGGGCTAGTTCCAGCCGTGCTACATCCTGTGTGAATTGGTAGAAGTTGGAATTCATGAACTAACCAATGGACTGTGTTCCAGTGGCTGAATGTTCTACCACCTTGCTAGCCTTGTAACTAGAATGCCTTAGGTTGGAATCGTGTTCGATTTGGGACAAAACAGCTGCCTGGCAGTATTCCCTGGCTGGTTTTCCAATGGTTCTCTGTCTGTCTGTTTTCGACACAGAACTTTGCACATATGCGCACCAGTTCAAGTCGCCACACTCGCTCCTTGTAGCACACAAAGCAAGAGAAGAAATGCATAATAGAGACAGTAAACAGAGGTGTGAGACAAAGAAGTAATAATAACGAAGAACAATATAGTTTCATTGGAAATCATAAGTCACAAGCAGTGGATGCATCTGCGCCAGCCATTGAGAACGATTTTGAGCCATGTCACTAATTGTTTTCGGCCACTGGTTTTTTACCGTCCCGAGGACCCCAACCAGTCAGTCAGGAAGTCTACACCTTCCTACGTGACTGGCTTTAACTGACTGGTGAAGCCATGTTTTGGTTTGACCGCCGCTAGCTCTTTTCCAGCCTGACCCTATGTCAACTAACATTGCCCGTCGAGGAAGGCGATGACTAGGCATACGTAACACATATCCTAACCATCTCATTCGATGTAACTTCACAGCCTCATAGATTGATTTCCCCTCTTTACCTAGCACCGGACCGACGCACAACCTCAATATTACTCACCTTACTATACCACTTAGCACGGGTAATAGAGCGCCAATGGTTCTCTAGCCTATATCAGCTCATGATGAAATCCAGTATTATATTATTGCTTTTCTCTTGGGTTCTGAGTGGTACCCAGGTCTTCAATGGTTCACTTTCATTTCATCCAGTTCTCTGAAGTCTAGTTCCTCTGGTTTCATGAATACTGACAAGCTTCCGTTCCTTCCTGCCTACAGGAACGCCATGTCACCCTCGCACACACACACACACACACACTGTTAGATTTTGTTCGGTTGTCATCTGTTGGAAATGCCATTCATGACGTGCGACATTAAACATTCACGCTAAATACGGACATGCACACATACAGAGATACATAGACAGATAGATAGACAAGCAGCCAGACACAAACACGCATATCATGACATGTCGTACTTAACATTCTTAAATGTTACGCACACACCCATTAATCTTTTTGACAACACTCTATGTTGCATTTTTCCACAAAAATATTTTTCTTTTTTTTATTTTTATTTTAAAAACAGATTTTATCTGAGAGAAAAAAAGGAGAACGAAGAGAAGGGTAGAGGGGCTGGAAAACACAAGCAACCGCAAACTATTTGAGCGTTTATTCATTACCATGACAACTGGAATTTAAACAATCGTATCCATAAACATTTTCTTCTACAACCTCATCCCTATCCTGATCATCAATTCATCCCTGTGATTCGACTCAGTCGTGATGATAATTTTAGTCTATTATTATTATTATTAAAAACAAAAAAAAATGAAAAATTATTCAAAATTTGATAATTTATCTCCAGAACCTAGTTGTAATTCAAGTCCGAAATGGTCATCCCCAGAACATCATTCTTCATCTAATCAATATCATCATAATAAATCAATAAATTCAAATAGACATACACCCACTCATAAATATATAATGAATAATCAATATTATAGTAATAATAATACTAACAATACTAATATAGATGAAACTACTACCAGTACTATAAATGATTCAAAAATTCAAATTTTTAAATCGATCGATAATGATGAGACGACACCGATTGGTGGTGGAAATCAACAAAATGGTATTATTTCCATAATGAATACACCTTCTAATAATAATAATAATAGTAATAATACGCCTAATTTAAATGGCTCCATGGATATTGAACATTTACGTTATCCGTTACGCGAAGCAATGAATCAAGATTTAATTGATTTACTTCGATCACAAATTTCAAAATTATTAGAAGAAAATGAAAAACATTTATCAAGAATTGATGATTATCGACAAAAGATTACATTAATTGAAAGAGTAAGTTTAGTCAATTGTTAAAAGACGTGTGATTGTGACTATGTGTGTGTGTGTGTGTGTGTGCGTGAGTGGGTGGTGGTTCTATGTAACTTATGAAAGCAGAATATCATATTACTCAACATCTATGTGATTGTGTCAGTGTGTGTGTGTACAAGTTAGGTAATCAGTTGTTAAGGTGAAAAAAAGAATGCAAATACTTTGTCAGTAACGTTGTATCATGTAGCTCTCTCTGTGTGTGTGTATGTGTGGGTGCGTTTTAAACAGAAGAGTAATGGAAAAAGAGATCAATACTTCTTTTTTCTAGTTGATATTTTAATCAATAACTGAAAGATCATCTTTATTTGATAGTGGGTGGTATTGAGAATGTAGATTTCGTCCTTTTTCGGACTCATCGGGTGAATGTATCTACATTTTGATGAAGAAGTATCAAAGATAAGGGTTTCCCTTCAGGTGAACATAGAGAAAACAGAGGTAGGTGATGAAAATTCCTGGCTATCAGCAACAACAGCAACAACAGCAACAGACAACAATTAGCCAGAAAAAATGGGAGAAATCTGCAAGAAGCAACCTCCTTCACCTACCTATCTACCTGCGAAGCATCGTTTCAACGAAAGGCGAATGGAAGTGACGAGGATATCAAACTGATGATCGTTAGGGAAGCAAGACAAGCTTCCATTTATCTCAAGTCTGTGTGGAGGTCAACAGTACTCAACTCTAATTTGAAGTCAGCGCTACTGTATACGGATCAGATACTTGGCGCAGCGCCGCGTCACGAAGTCCACTTAGAACAAACTGCAGACCTTCATCAACAGACGTCTTCACCCAACACTACTCAAGGTCAGATGACCTGCCAGTAAAGATCAGCAATAGGGAGGGATCTCTTGCAATGAGCGAACCAACCCAGTACGAACCAACTGTGCAACGAATTTGCATGAAGAAATGAAGGTGGATTGGCTATACTCTGAGAAAGCCGAATGATAGGTGGCGAGTTGGCCATCAGTGTGAGGGTGATATGGAGTAGGTGGTACCAAGAGGAGATGAAAGCAAGTCACGACCAGTAGGGTGTAGCAGGTCAATTGTAAGGAAATTAATCGTAAAATGCAAGAATTTGGAGTTCATAGGCAACCTGGTTCGGATACCAGTGGCTTAATGGTCCATGAACTCGCCTTGTAACCATAAGGTCCCGGGTTCGAACCCCTGTGGTGGGTCCATATTGATAAAGAGTCTCAAACTAGGACGAAGCAGTTGTCTAGTACTCTCAAGTGGTTTTCCAATGGTTCTCGAATCGATATCAGCACAAGATAAAATCCTGTAACCAATCAATTGATTCTCCACAAATCAATACTAAGATAATCAATTATCCATTCTAGGTGGTATATATATCTCAAATCTAATTGATTTTCATTATGAATATAAGACCATTGTAAAGTTAAGATGCTTTCATTTTGAAAATATGCACCAGAACTATCGATTGGCTTTTTCAATTTGATGATTTAAGCATTTGTCTTCGAGCCAATGGGCGACGAGTTCGAGTCCCTCCTCACATACTTCAACTATGGCACCTGGATAGTATTACCACTCTTCATACAGCAAGTGTGCCTTACACAACCTCTTCTAGACAGCTGAGCTCAAAACAAATTCATTTTAATCACTCACACACACACATACTCAATAGATAGCTAATTGGTTGATGAGTTAATTGACCGATCAGCTGATCAATAAATTGATTTTTTTTGTCACATACTTAGGCTTCTCTACTCAAAGTCATATATAAGGTGATATATGATGCATAGGATTTCAAAGTGACGGTGTGATTACGTTTCTGCTAGATGACTTTTCTACTTACATTTAAGATTAATTAAGTTGTTATTGTACCCATTGATTCGTATTTTGGCTAGCAATCTGCTTTTAATCATGACAAGACACTTTAATGTGCTCTAGTACATTTGTGTGTGCGTGCGTGTGTGAGTATATGTCTATGCATGCTAATAATTTAATGAGTTACATACCACAACTAACTGACGATGAATAAACATTCACATATGATGTAATTCATAGACACGTTGTTATGTGAATTGAAAAAGTTTTTACCAAGTCAGTAATGAAAAGAAGAAAGCAGATGCATGGAATATTTTAAAAGATGGTGACTTCGTGTGAAAAAATTATGAAAATAAAAAGTACAAAATAATAATAATAAAACCTCTTTAGTACTTCATGTGAAATGTGATCAAGATTCGACCGAATAGTTCCTAAAAGATAAGTGAGCGCCGACTATTATTATTTCCTTTAATTCCTAGAGGAACATAAAGCTTCAGCTGCGCGTCTCCATTGCGTTCGATTCTCTGCCAACGTTTTCACCCCGCTCCAATTCTGCTCACATGCTTTCATCCCCTCTTCACATGACCTCCTCTAAGTCACCCTTGCACTGACGACCAACTCGCCGCCTGCTTCCCTTTTGGGTTCCACTCGAGCAATGGCCTGTCGTATGATGTCACTTGATGGTTTCCTCAGAGTATGGCCAATCCATCTCCATTTCTTCCTGCCTATTTCTTGCACAATCGGTTCCTGGTTGGTTCGTTCATTGCCAGAGATCTCTGTTGATTATGCTTTCTGGCCATCTGATTTTGAGTATTGAGCGAAGGCAACTGTTAATGAAGGTCTGAAGTTTGTTTGAGATGCTCTTCATGACGCGCTGGCCAAGTCTCTGATCCGTATGGTAGCACTGACTGACTTTACATTGGAGTTGAAAATCCGGATCTTATTTCTGATGCTGAGTGCTGTTGACCTCCACACAAACTTGAGAGTAATGAAAGCTTGTCTTGCTTTTCCGATTCTGGCTTTGATATCCTCGTCAGTTCTGTCCGCCTGTAGTTGAAACGATGCTTATCAGGTAGGTGAAGGAGGTTGTTTCTTTCAGGTCCCTCCCATTTGTGCTGATTGCTGTTTGTTGTTGCTTTTGATGTTGGCCAGGAATCTTCGTCACCTCTGTTTTTTCTATGTTCACCTGGAGTAAGTCCTATATTTGATGCTTCTTCTGCCAGCTTGTTGTTTTTCACTTGAATATCTTTAGGCTTTTGAGAAATCAGAAATACATCATCGTGAGCGCTAAGCGAGAAGTGGACATTTGTAAAATCTCAGTGAACTTGTAAAAAATGATTAATTCCAACGTTTCATGCGTTCGGCAAACTGGTACGAACTTCTTCGGGGGAAATTAATCGATTTGCTACTAGTGCTTCTCTGAAGAAGTTAGGTAGGACCAGTTTGCCGAACGAAATGTTGGAATTACGCATTTTACTTTCTCTGAGATTTTAAAAATATAATTTTTTTAATGTGTCTCTGTTTCTGTTGTATAAAGAGTGAAAGTAAAAGGCTTTACGTAGGATTCTCAATGAGGCTGGGGCGGCATTTAAACCAATCAACCAACCAGCAAACTCTCTCGGTGATAAACTTTTTTAACTGAAGGACTCAATAGATCCAATCAAGAAAAACAATATAATTTACTAAATGCTATGTAATGACTGTTAGTGTGATCAATAACATGGGTCAGTCAAGTTAGTAGATCAGGATCGACCAGATTATTGGAACATGGAAATTTAGTTGGACCTAGAATGATCCACCCTCCAGGATTTATCGAGAAAAACATGAAGTTAAAGCAAAAGCCTTAAAGAACCCTGACGGTGCCAAAGAAATTGTTATTTATTAAGGTTGAATTAAAGGATACCGCAGCCGAGATCCTGAAGAATCGCCTATGCAGATCACTGAGAAAATCCTTCTTTTCGACTGAGCTACGGTTCAGTTTCTACAGCCAACAAATGATTAATGCATGTGTGAAGGATAAACTACCGCTTTTGGCGATCCAATTAAATGTGTGTTTATAAATTCACTTGCTTGTGTGGAGCTAGTTATATTGGTTACAGAAAGCGCACACTTTTCAAACTCATCTCTGAACATTGTCTGGCGTGGTTAGCAAAAGGGCAATGCAACACAATTACTAGTTCAATTCTCGAGCACTTGTTGAACTCAAGCCATGTAGCTCCACCAGGGTAGTCTTTCAAGATCGTCTACAAAGTGAGGCCAAATGGTACAAAGGGAGTCAGGTTTCGGCTTTTGTATATGGTGGAGGCGCTGACAATTCGTCAATACAATCCCAAACTCTGTATATACTAGAAAAAGTTTGTCCAGTCTCTTATTCTACCATGGTCTTAACCTCTTCAACAGTCGCTCAGTGTACATCATTTTATTTCTAATTTTTATGCTTAATTTTACTTTTTTAGTTTGCACTTACTTGAATAAATAATTCACTATTATATCACTCTCATATGTTCCTTTTTGTACATTCTCACACCCTCTTCACACCTGTTAAATTGACAATCAACTACCTCTATTCTCAATGAATAACAATTTTAACCTTATCAAATTTCTAACCCTTTCTTCCCCTGTGCTATTGTTGAGTACCAGGTAATTTGCTACTCATATTTTTATTCGTAAGGCCACTTCCGAGTAATAATATCAATTATGTCACCTCCCCCACCTCGATTACTCAATAATAGACCACTATACATTTTTGGTAAATATAAATACGACTGTGCACAACCAGTGAAGATGATTTCGTCGATAAAGGAAATTTTCTTCACTGAATATGTCTTTTATTTTCTTCATGACTCAATGCGGGTATTTTCGGTGATTTGACTTTGTAAAATATTATAATAGAGGTTTTTTGTATTTCCCAATGAATGAAAAACAAAACGATATTGCTGCTACTTTTTACTGACGTTTCGCTATTTAATGACGCTAATAGCTTTCTCAAAGTATTATTAAACCGGAATTTACAAAATCTCAGTATATATATAACAAAGAGTTAGGGGCGAGAAAAAATATAGACTTAGTTCAACTTAAAAGGACATATTGAAAGTCAAAATAACAATGAAGATCGTTCAAACCAAATATCAAAGGTAATCGTATATCTGTTATTATATCAAAATAAAGTTGACTAACTTGATCATCGTTCGTCAGTCTGGGTCGCTTTTGGTTGTCAAGTTGGAGAATAGGTAAAGGCAACCAAACTAAGTGTAGACTGTGAAATACTTGATTATCGGTCGTCAGTATGAGGTCTGAGGATTAACGAACGATGATCAAGTTAGTAAACTTTGCTTTGATATAACAACAGATATACTATTACCTTTGATATTTGGTTTGAACGGTCTTCATTGTTATTTTAACTTTCAATATGTCCTTTTAAGTTGAACTAAGTCTATATTTTTTTCTCAGACCCTAACTCTTTGTTATATATATGCTGAGATTTTGTAAATTCCGGTTTAATAATACTTTGACAAAGCTATTAGCAGTAGCATTAAATAGCGAAACGTCAGTAAAAGCAGCAATATCGTTTTGTTTTTCATTCATTGGGAAATACAAAAACCTCTATTATAATGAATATCATATACCCAATGCCCAAATTTTTTCAAACCGTTAAAAAAGTGAACTTGGTTTGGACATATATAATTGACCTTGTTAAGTTAAATAACCTAGAAAAAAGCTCAGCCATTGAACAGTATTGCATTCACTTGCATTCAATCGGACACTATTGAGTGGATGGGATAGGGTCAGAGTATTAATAATAAATATAGTTAGGTGGAGAGAGAGGTTAATCATCGCAAACGTGCAACGGGAATGACGCAACGCTTAAACCGGAAATATGCAAAGTGGCATCAAACGACAAAGGGAAGTTGGACAGATAGAGAAACAGAGAAAAGTATACGTATAAGACAAATTGTGAAACCGTATGACTAAAATTGATTGATGATTGTGAGCAGCAATAATTTATGCACGAAGCCTTGTCATCCAGTTCTTAATAGATATTTAAGATAAACTTATCTAATATGGAAATATACGGCAGTTGGGCAGTAGAATGCTCTTTTCTGTAGTTTGGCTTGTAGGGGTTAGATATGTTTTTACGAGTTGATCACGGATTGATATCAGTTAGAGAAGCATTGAAAACCAATCAGGAAGTATTGGATAGCCAGCTGTTTCGCCCTAGTTTGGGAGTCATCGGCAGTAGGCACCCACTGCCAGGTTTCGAGCCCAGGACCTTCCGGTTACAAGGCAAGCTCGTATACCATTCAACTACCTACGAGTCTTTGAGTCGTGACCAGTGAGGTCCATCCAAATGTCATGTGTGAGGATGGATATCCAACCGACGACAGTGTTTCGGGTCGCGCTAAAATCATGAATGGGTAGAAGTTAGAATTCATGCACCGGTCATTGAATCGGGTCCCAGTGGCTGAATGGTATACGAGCTTGCCTTGTAACTGGAAGGTTCTCGGTTCGAACCCTAGCGGTGGGTGCATACTGCTGGAGATTCCCAAACTAGGAGGAAACAGCTGTCCAGTACTCCAGTGTGGGTTTTCAACGGTTCTCTAGATGATATCAATCCGTTACAGACTCCTAAAAAGTAGAATGCTCGCCAACCACGCCCCATTTGGTCCAGGGTTTGATCCTTAGTCAACGAAAGCCTTTACCTTGTCTAGCCGGTAGTAATCCCTGTAAAGAGGGAAAGTTGGACACGAGACAGACTAGCAACCCTACCGCGTTAAAATTAAACACCACTACTACCGAAACCTCATAGCTCTAGCTTGAAGCCACCCTATGTTCCACTGGGAACATAAAGGAATAAGAAGAGAAGCAGGCAAGGGCAGCAAAAATAGCTAGACTTGTTTTTAGTGTAAAAACAACATTCTACCCAAGTGCCCAAAACTTCCAGGCAAAACAACACACACAGCACTGCTGTTTTTCTATGTCAGTAAATCTGGACAATATGGAGAGATGCTCAGGAATGATAATGCGAAACGGTGCTTATATATAATCATGAGTCATTGTCTATTTTTCTTTTATCACTCATTGAACGAGAGCTGCAGTTACATACACCAATCAGAAATAACCTTCTTACATTTTATTCAGCGACTTCATGTGTAATCAATCTCCTCTCAATGCTTCTCTCTATTTTTCCCTATCCTGCCCTTATAGGAGAACCGTGAAGCAGCAGCTGATCCATCCAATGAACTAATCATACTACAAACTGAACTTGGTGAAGCACGTATGCGAGAAGCAGAGTTGACAGTAGCCTTTGAAGAGTTACAGCATCGGATAACAGCTATTGATCGTCTTATAGAGACTGTAAGTACCTATTGTACCTATTTTGTTATGTAGATAATTTAATTTTTGTCTCCATGGTACCATATTGACAGTTTTAATTTATGTCATGAATTGATATATCGATAAAGAGAATCCTTGAAAACCATCGGGGAGTTTTTTCGGACAGCTGTTTCACCCTCTTGAATTCGGAATGCTTGAGTAACAGTATACACGGACATCAGCTCATGGAAAAGATTGAAATCAGGACGTTCAAGTCACGATGAACGGCTCGTTGAACACTCTGTCATTTGGCTATAATTCATTGATCCGTGAATCCAAGCTCCCGACAATTTTTCAATTTTATTTTTGATTTCAGCTTGATTCCACACTGTATTTTTGGTACAGGCATGGAATTTTCAGCATGTGATATCGGTAGCTCAAATTTCGCAGGCCGACCATAGATATCAGGTGTGCGTCGGCAGGGGATCGAACTCCGGACCATGTACATGGTCGGCGAGACTCCTAACCACTGTGCCACCGATGCACATACATACCAAAGTGTATTTGATGCTCATTGATGGCTTTGGTTGGTAATAGAGGTGAGGGAATTTAGAATACACGGGTTGTTGAACTGCTGTCGAAGGAATTGATTGGTGCCAATGGATACTTTCTGGTGACGCCAACGTCCTTGTTTCGATCCTTAGAGTAGTACTAAGCATAAGGATGAAAAAGCTGTACAGTACTTTCCGGTTTTTGAATGATTTTCTTAGTGGTTTCCATCATGAGTTGATATCGACGAGAGAGCCATTAGAAAACCAGTCAGGGAATACTGCCAGACAATTGTCTCGTCCTAGTGTCTGGGACTCTTCAGATGAACTCATCCACCGACCAGGGTGCGAACTAAGGACTTTCTATAGCAACAGAAGACAACGGCCAGGGAACAGATCGTTTATTAAGGAAATCAACATATATTTATAGATTTTCATGTACATTATTATAGATTATTGTTAGCAGAAAAACACAGTCTTCTGATTGGTTGTTTCTCACAGAAAGCTAACCTACCTTGCATCTCTTTGTGGCTGTTTCTTGAATGTCCGGTCATCTATATGTTAACTATATGCACCTACGCAAAGCCTTTGTTCTCATTTTTCTCATGACCAATATTGGGGACAAAAAATATTGACGTAAATTACCGTCCACCAATTCTGACTAACAGCCAGCTCTCATCACACTTCTGGTTGCAAAACCAGAGAGCTCGTAAACCATTTAATCCCAAGCACATGAATTCCAACCTCTACAAATTCATTTAGGATATGGCACGACTGGCACTATCCAGTGTCATCACTGGCGAGTAATTGTCCTCAATTCCGACCTGCTGTACCCCACTGACTGGTCACGACTTCTCTCTCAGTCAGTAGCGAGCATCAGATTAATATTCAGCTGTTGGTTTCCAGGGATTTGATTGGTAACAGGATTTAATCATGAGATGTGTGCATCGATGGCACAACGGTTAGGACTCTTGCCGACCATGCACATGGTCCGGGGTTCAATCCCCGGCGCCGACGAACACTTGATATCAATGGTTGGTCATCAAAATTTGAGCTACCGATATTACATGCTGAAAATTCCATACTCGTACCAAAAATGCGGTGTGTGGTTTCAAGCTATAATAAAAATAATAAATAAAGAAAGAATAAAATAAATCTAGAGGTATTTACTTGGGTTCTAGTGAGAATTCGTAACCAGTGAGTGGGGTACAGCGGGTCGGGTGTGACGACAAATACTCGACACCAATGAAATTGGCTAGTGCCAGTCTTATCTATATTCTGCGTGAATCGGCATAAGTTGGAATTCATGTGCTGGCAACTTGACTGGCGGATCTTAGTGGCTGAATGGTCTACAAACTGTCTGGCCTTGTAACCAGATGGTCCTGGGTTCGCATCGTGGTCGGGGTATGCGTACTATTCAAAGGTCTCAAACACCTGGACGAGACGTCTACCTCGCAGGACTCCCTATTTGGTTTTCTAATGGTTCTTTAACCGATGTCAACTCAGAATGAAATCTTGTAACCAGTCAAAGCGAATCCCTTGGAAACTCAGCGATTTGCCAGTTCGTGACGAGATTTACATTAAAACTAAACCAAATACCTACAAACAAAAGTCGTAATCTTAAAAAAAAGTACCACATATCGTTTGTTATTTTCTTATTCAAGTTGTCCAATAAGTAGTTCAGTCTTTTGTATTTACATTCATGTATCTTAATGTCTGTTTTAAATTTAACTTACCGATTAAACCATTCTGGATGCACAGACATGTATAGAAGAGCTAACTGTACGACGCTACATCATCTGTGCTTTTTTATTCTGTGTTAAATGGTTTCAATTGATAGTTCAACGTTTCAATGGTAATATTACAGTGAAATAAGCTACTGAATTGAATACGATGTTTTCAGTAAATAATGAGCGAAAAATTTCTTAACGAAACGACTAAATTCATTAATATGTTGTCGTTGTTGTTTTTGGCGCCTTTTTTGTTTAAAATGTGAATGGCGTCATTCGTGCTTAAAAATAAACCGATTTATTACTTACTATTGGTGGTATCAACCAGACGCAATGTTACGGGGTTGAAGGTTTTTAAATTTCAATGGGAAATGATTCATACTGTGATCCGTCGCTAAAATGCACACAAATATCATGTGAATGTGTGTATAAGTGTGTGGAGGGGAGAGGGGAGGGATATGGGGTCACTAAGCCAATATGACTCTTTTTTCAATACAAAAAATCGTTGTAAGCAGTTGAAGGTTACTGTCAGAAAGGCTTTGGAGTTCAGTTGCATGTTTTTTGTTGATAGTCGTTGGCAAGCAGGTACTCTACAACTGAATGCCTCAAACCGTTTAATGCTAATTTAGAATAATAAGAACACATATTGATTTGATGATATTAGATGGTTGGCGGCAATCGGCCACAGGAATCCTTGCTTCACATAGATTTCTCGCTAGCTGGCAATCATCAGTCAGCAAGGCGTATCTGCAACCTTGAAGGAACTCATGTCCCTCCTTCTGACATTCGAACCCGCGTCACCCAGGACAGTGCTGCAGTCAGAGACGTTACCACTGAGCTAGCTATTCGGGCTAGCTAATGATCAATACTATGTCAGTTAACATTGTCCGTCGAGGAATGTGATGGCTATTCATTCTTAACACACGTCCTAACCATCCCTATGTTCCTCTAGTAATTAAAGGATATTATATATATATATATATATATATATATATATATATATATATATATTCATGTATAAAGGCGGAAGGCTTTCAGTCATTAAAATAAACAATCACTCCAGCCTAACTGAATCATAATGGTGATTATGATTTCTGAAATCAAGTTCATTCATTAATTCATTCATTGAGATATTCATCTCTCTCTGTGCATGAACATCCTAACAATGTCCTGTTATCATTTATATGCTGAACCATGGAGTAACCAAGGTAACAGAAATAAATTGAAAGGAGGGGATTCAATTCTTTCACATATCTATCTATCTATCTCAATAACTCGAATCAAATAATTCTGCATGAATAGAATGACAGAAAAAGAATTAGGTTTTCCACTTAGAGGTGTGATGCACGAATCGAACACGCCTACTCTTTGGCAAATTATCATATACAAATCCGTTGGACTATAGATGTCAGTGTGATTATTCAGGGGAATTATGCTAGACAAACCTTTGAAGCGTATAATTACTGAAGGCTCGGTGAATTTCGACAGCTTTTCATTTATATCATTTCTAAATGTCGTATGGCATGTCTGCGGGGCGCCGAGGGGGGCGGTCTTCGAGACGCTAAGAATCTTCATATCTGTTACTGTGCCATTCTTAGTGCATGTGTCGAGTTGAGTTTAAATTAGATCGAGGTTAATCACTTTATCGAAAGATAAGAATTAAGCTGAGTGTAAAATGGCTGATATCGGTTAGAGAACGATTGGAAAAGCGACCAGGGAGTACTGGCAAACAGCTGCCTTATCCTAGTGCCTGGGACTTTTTAGAAGTGCACATTCACGGAACAGGGTTCGAACACAAGACCTGGTTGCCAGGTCAGTGAGTCGGTAGACTATTAGACCACTTGAATTCCAGATTCTGAGAATTCGCTATATTTACTGTCAACCGTCACCGAATGCCATAAACGATTAGCTGATCCTATACCTGATTTGATGGACCCTACTGTTTTCGATGGGAGTGGGAGTTTAATAGTCTTTGAATCGACTCAGAGTAGCTTAATATTCAATGAACTCCTTGACCTTGTAAGCAGAAGGCCCTGGTTTCAAACCCTGGTCACCGGATGCGTACTTCTGAAGAGTCACAAACAGTAGGACGAAACAGTTAGCTGTCTGGCAGTACTTTCTGGCTGGTTTTCCAATGATTTGCCAACCGATATCAACTTATAATAAAATCCTTTCACTAATCAAATCAAATCCTTGCAGACTAACACTAGAATAGGTGTAGAATGATTGATGGATGGAATTCATTGGAATTCAGGATGCACATTTCGTCCTATTTGGGACTCGTCATCTGGATGTACCTGCATTTCTCGTTGAGTCAGTTATGATGTTCCCACCGAGGCTCGAACCCAGTGTCCATGGTTTCAGTTGCCACAGCCAGGTTCAAGCCTCGGTGGGAACATCATCACTCACTGAGAAATGCAGGTACATCCAGCTGACCACGAGTCCCAAATAGGACGAAATGCGGATCCTGGATTCCACTGCTAGTCAACATCCACCAATTAAATTATAATCAAATCCCCAGACACTGTCGAAGCATCTGCACAAGTAGGCGACATGTCATCCTGAGGTTGAGCACTTCGGTCCAATCAATCGATGGGAAAATCTAAAATTGAATTAAGGTAGAATAATTGACCCTAGGAAGACGATTAACAAGGAGGAGGACTTAGCAACTGCAATGCAGGCACTAGTAGACAATCACACAACACTTTGGGACAGAGATACCGATAATTTTTTAAAAGTAGTAACATGGTTTAGTGAAGCAAGA